ACTGCACCCAGCCTCTTATCCTATTCCCGGCTATCCGCTTTCATCCACGCCCTTGACACAGGATGCAGCTCACAGTTTACCAGAGGGTACCAGCTCATGGTGAGGGGCTGCACGGGGTGAGGGCGGAGGTGGTTTTCAAACAGTGAAAACGTGTTCTGATGGATAATGCCTTTATGCATTTTCTTGTGACTATCCTGGAGCATAAAAACTCCAGTTTTTCTAAGCTCTTTACCTGGGAGCAAGAATGCTGGGTCAGAGAGAACACAAGGCTTCAATTTTAATAGTTACGCCAGGCCATTATCCAAAGTGACGTTTCAGTTTACACTTTTTGAGTTGGGCTCTCACCCTGTCTCCCAGGCTGGAGTGCAGTGGCACAGTCACGGCTCACCACAGCCTCGACCTGCTGGGCTCAGGGGATCCATCCACCTCCGGAGTATCTGGGACTACAGGCACGTGCCACCACACCCAGCTAAATTTTTGATATTTTGTAGAGACAAGGTCTTGCTGTGTTGCCCAAGCTCCTCTTGAATTCCTGGTCCCAAGGAGTCCTTTCACCTTAGCCTCCCAAAGTGCTAGGATTACAGGCAAGAGCTACTAGGCTGGCCTCAATTTCTAAAAGGAGGGTAGAAGACTTCCTGTGTGTCATATCTTTGATAATATTTGATATTTTCAGAAGTTTTTTAAAATATCAGACGTGTAATGTGCCCGCATTGTAACAAGGTTTGAGGAAGGCACATCTCACACATGAGCATGAATACCCAGTCATCATACTTATAAAATACAAAAGGACCAGTGTTTTCAGGCTTTTAAATTGTAACCAGTCTGTGGCTGTGTGGCAGTATCTCTTAGATTTAAATTTGCATTTACCCCATTCCTAAGGAAGTTGAACACCTTTTCATAAATTTGTTGGCCACTTGGATTTTCTGTTTTGTGGAATACCTTGTCAAGTCTTTTATCCATTTTTGTATTGGGTTTCCTGTTCTTGTCCTTAGAGATTCACAGCAGTGCTTTATGTATTCATGCCATGAGTTTTTTTGTCATTTACTGGTGTTGCAAACATATTCTCTCCCTTTGGTTTGCCTTTTCACTTAAAAAAAATTTTTTTTGCCTTTCACATTTATATCTCTAATCCAACTTAGATTTTTGTATGTGTGTATGTTGTGAAGAAGGCTTGCAGTTAAGATATGTTAAGAGTTCAACATTAAATAAAGCTATTGAGGAGACAGGACGGATCTTTGACAGAGGAGGGTGAGCCAGGATGACTTCCAGAAAGCATAAGAAACTGGAGGACACCTTCACCCCTGCAAGTGAGTGGGTAAATAGGTGAAGCCCAGTTTTGTTTCTTCCTCTCCCTTGTGTTCCCACATTCAGTCTCCAAGACCTGTCAATTCTTCCTCCCAGTGTATCTCTTGGTTCTCATCTGCTCTTCCATTCTCATTGAACTCCCTCATTTAGACCATCACCTCTGACCTAAAACTGCTTTACAATTCTCGTCACTACTTTGCTTCTGCCCTCCTCATTCCATTTTCCATCCAGAAGCCAGAGTGATCTTTAAAAAAACAAATTTGAACACCATAACCCATGAAGTGGTCTTGCAAAAAAATTTTTTATATAAATAAATTACCAGTTAAACACAACCTGACTGTGTCATTTCCTTGCTCAAGTCTTTCAATAGCTTCCAATAGTCCTCAGTCCTTCCTCTAGGAAGGGATGGTTACTCTGCTGTCCATCAGTCTACCCTAGCACCCTAGAACTATAATTAGCACATAGTAAGTTTCTCCAAAAATGTTTGTTGAATGACTGAATGTGAGTATTAATGCCCCTAAGTTTGTGAGGATGTGGGGAATCTAATTACTTCCAATTTCTCTGAGAAGGAAAAGGCAGTTCTGCTGAGTGTGACTGGCAAGCATGTTGGGCAGGGCCTGAGGCCTGTGGTGAAGGCTGGAAGGAGCTACAGTGGGAACTAGAGGTACCCAGACCCCAAACCCAGCATGACCCAGCAGCCTGGGTTCCAGCAAGGGAAGCCTGTCTAGATTGATCCCAAATAGGGTTTCTTTCAGTGCATATAAAGTGCCAGGGGTTGAATATAGTGTCGAGAAAGGGGTTAAAGTGATAGGCTGACTGGATGCAGTGGCTCATGCTTGTAATCCCAGTACTTTGGGGGGCTGAGGCAGAAAGATTACTTGAACCCAGGAGTTCAAAACCAGCCAGGACCATATAGTGAGACCTCATCTCTACAAAATATTCAAAAATTAGCTAGGCTTGGTGGCATGCACCTGTAGTCCCAGCTACTTGAGAGGCTGAGGCTGAAGGATCGCCTGAGATCAGGAGGTCAAGGCTGCGGCAAGCCATGACTGTGCCATTTTGACTTAAAAATGAAATTAAATTTTAAAAAACGGATGGGATGGTTAGGAAAAGAAAGAGAACTGAAAGGGGTGACATGAGGAAACACTCAGTGCGTCTTGACAAGGTCTCAGAGCTCATGTAGTAGGAGTGAGATGGAAGACGGTATGCAGCATGGGCGGAGGAGGCATGCTTCACAGGCAGGCAGTGATGCCCACATCCGGGAGCAAAGGGCTGCAGCGGGGACAAGACAAAGGCTACTGGTGCTGAAGAGGTCAAAGAACTGTGTTTTCATGGGTGTGATTATGAGGTTCCTTTTCTAGACGCTTCAAAACATGTCCTGAATGAAGAGGTGAAGGAAACATCCTCACATAGCATTAGACCCAGGGACCATGTGCAGTCTCAGAGTTTCCTCAGGAAGCTGCCCCACTGCCCAGAGGCTTGGCAGGGCTTGGTGACCTTATCCTGGATGCCTGTGTCACTCTAGACTGGATTCTGCAACCCTGCAGGAGCCAAGTAGTTATTCCTGTTCCCTCTATAGACTTACCTATTGACGGGGCCTGCATGCAGGGAGGGCAGGGCCTGTGTTCGATATTGTGCATTGTGGGTTTATTTGCATAGGTTTTTTTGTTGTTGCTGTTATTGTTTGTTCATTTTTTGAGACAGGGTCTCGATCTATCACCTAGGCTGGCGTGCAGTGGCACAATCACAGCTCACCACAGCCTTTACCTTGTAGGCTCAGGAGATCCTTCAGCCTCAGCCTTCCGAGTAGCTGGGACTACAGGCATGCTCTGTGCTCATCTTATTTACTTATTTATCTGTCTATCTATTTATTTATTTTTGTAAAGACGAGGTCTATGTTGACCAGATTGGTCTCGAACTCCTGGGCTCATGCAATCCTCCCACCTTAGCCTCCCAAAGTACTGGAATTACAGGCTTGAGTTATCACACCCAGCCTGGTTTAGTTTTTTTATTTTTATTTTTCAAGAAGTATGTCATTTCTCTGGTTTCAAGACCAGTCCTTGGAATTATGATTATTTCATTTTTATGCTTTTATTGTTTTCTCATGGTTTTTGTCCCTCTTGCCTTCTTTCTGCGTTCCTGCAGCCTCGTGTTTTTGGTTTGTTTTCTCTAACCTCCTGAATTATGAAATGTATTAATTTCCTAGGGCTGCCATTTAAAAGTAATGCATACTGGGTAGTTTAAAAGGTACTGCCATTTAAAAAGTACTGCATACTGGGTGGTATTCTCAGACAGTTCTAGAGGCTAGAAGTCCAAAATTGGCATTGGCAGGGCCATGCTCTTTATGGTGGATTTGGGGAAGCATCCTTCCCTGCCTCTTCTAGCTTCTGGTGGTTGCCAGCAATCCTTAGGGTTCCTTAGCTTGTAGATATGTCACTACAATCTCTGCTTCCATTTCATATGCTCTGCCTCCCATATGTCTGTGTCCAAATTTTCGTCTTCTTATAAGGACAACAGTCTTTGAATTGGAGTTCACCCTGACATCTTACTTTACATCTGCAAAGATTCTCTTTCCAAATGAGCCTCATTTACAGGTACCTGGACTTAGGACTTGAACACATCTTTTTAGAGTATGAAATTTTACCCACTCACTAACTGAGGCTAGTTAATTTACCTGAGGTTAGTTAATTTTAGTGAAAGAGTTTAAGAATATACATTTACCTTTGAGGGAACCCTAAAGGTTCTGATAAAAATGCTTTCATTTTCCTGCTTTCTAAATGCTGTGTTGTATTTTTATTGCCTCTTTTACTGTTTATTTATTTATTTTCTTCAAAGCATCTACTGAGAAGGATTTTTTTCTTCCAAGCTTCTACCTCATTAACTATTTACGAGAATGATTTAAAAGTCCTGAGCAGCTTGAGATTCCCCTCCAATCATTGTTATTTTGTTTTTCTCTTTCTTTATTCTTTTAGTCCAGAAGTTAAAAGTTTAACAATACAGAATAAATTAAAGTGCAAAAGTCACCCCCTAACCACCAGTTTCTAAATCCCACTCCCACAGATAATCATTATTGATAATTGGAGTCTATCTTTCCAGACCTTTCTTTCGTGTACACAAAAGTACTTGGCTTAGGGAGGGTGGGAGGAAGAGAAATTACTTAATGCTACTATATACTCTATTCGGGGTGGGGTACATTTAAAGGCCAGACTTCACCATTATGCAGTATATCCATGGAACAAAATGGCACTTTTGGGTGGGGCGAAGTGGCTCACATCTGTAATCCCAGCATTTTGGAAGGCGGAGGCAAGAGAACTGCTTGAGGTCAGGCGTTTGAAACCAGCTTGGGCAACATAGCAAGATCCTGTCTCTGCAAAAACAAAACAAAACACTGTACTTATATCCCCTAAATTTATTATTATTATTTTTAAAGCCCTTGGCTTAATTATCTGCTTCACATGCTCATGGAGTTAGGAAAGGAGAGATCCTAAGGAATGAAAGCAGTAAAACCAAAAAAATGGAAGATATTCACAACATTTAATTTTCCTAAACCAAATTTGCTTCTAAAGTGAGCACAATGGTTGGATGCAGTGGCTTATACCTGTGATCCCAGCACTTTGGGAGGCCGAAGCTAGAGGACTGCTTGAGCCCAGGAGTTGGAGACCAGCCTCGACAGCACAGTGAGACCTCATCTCTACAAAAGTTAAAAATACATATATACAAACAAAAAAATAAAGTGAGTATAAACATATAAACAGCAGGTGTATTCACACTTTGGTAAAAATAAGCACCTTTGTCCTCAAAGTGCTTTAGAGTGTTTGCTTAAATATCAAAGTCCATAAAACTTTTCTTCAGATATAAACACAAAATCATCTTTTAAAAATTTCAACCTCCGCCACATGAGTTACTTATTTAACTGGAGTCTGGTCTATCCCCACCCTCCAACCTGGGCAAACAAGTCTGTGTGATGTTTGCCCTGCTGCGTGCTGTGGTTCAAAACACTTATTTTCAGTCATAACAGCTTCCCACTGATCTTACAAAGAATTTTAATACCCCTGAGATCGAGGAAGAAACATCTAACTACTACATATCCCAAGGTGAAATCTTCTGTATATACATGTGTTATAAAATTTCAGATACATAAATAACTTAGTAAATCTGAATTATAAGGGATTTGTCTATTTCATTTCATTCCTTAACTTCTGATTATTTATTTTTCATTCTTTTGTAGAGATGAGGTCTCACTAGGTTTCCCAGGCTAGACTCAAACTCTTGGTCTCAGTGATCCTTCCACCTTGGCCTCCCAAAGTGCTGGGATTATAGGTATGAGTCACTGTGCTAGGCCCTTGATTATATTTAATTCAGTAATTTTATTCTTGTCTTGGGGGTAGAAGGGATAGAAATTTAAGCTACTAATATATTCCCAATTTTTCACTTTAAAAATTACTCATTCTGGAAAATATATAAAAACTTGTGTGGTTTCAATAGTTATCAATATTAATGAATGCAGATTTTGGGATCTGTGAAATAGAAGCTACAACTAGGCTGGGTACAATGGTTCATGCCTATAATCCCAGCACTTTGAAAGGCCGAGACAGTAAGATTGCTTGAGCCCAGGAGTTTGAGGCCAGCCTAGGCAACATAGTGAGATCTCATATCTACAAAAAAAAAAAAAATTAAAAATTAAAAATTAGCCAGGAATGGTGGTGAGCTCCTGTAGTCCCAGCTATTCAGGAGACTGAGGAGGAAGGATCGCCTTAGCCCAGGAGGTCAAGGCTGCAGTGAGCTGTGGTTGTACCACCACACTCCAGCTTGGGTGACAGAATGAGTCCCTGACTTAAAAAAAATAAATCGAAACTACAACTAGTCTGCTATTTTTACACCAACAGAGTAAAACGTATTGGGTTTTTTAAATAATGCATCTTTATGAAGAAAACACATTTTCTAAAGGGTTTTTTGCAAATAAAAGGTTTTACTTTAGGAAACATTCATGTTACATGTGGCT